AATGGCACAGCGGCAAGATGACGAACAGCTGCGACAGCTGCAGAAAGACACCAATGTTTAGTGCTAGTGAGAGTATAGTTGCAGTCATGTGAATGTCGCATTTCTTTTTGGATTTCGCATGACAGGGTGGTCTGGTAGTAGCTGCGGCATCCAGAAGTCTGCTGCAGACTCCGTCCCACTCCATTCTGAAGCTCTAGTCCCAAAGGCTAAACTGTCAGTCCAAGTGCTTTGCTTCTGTAGACTTTGCTTTAAGGCCTGTGATCTTGGATGGACCACGTCAAAGGATCACACAGGCCAGCCGCGAGTGTGTTAACTGGTGCCGACATGAGGTCCTGCCACTGGTGTTCCCCGCATTGCAGATTGTTGCTCCATGACAATATCTCCGTTTGGGGGTTGCGTCTCAGGGTTATCTCATTCCTTTTTTGAAGCGACCACGATTTCCGTCCATCCTTTCCTGTGACCTGCACGAGTTCCTTATATCCATGCGGGTACTGGGCTCTAATCATATAATTAACTGTTATTGCTCATATGGACAGGTTTGTAAGTGTATAAGATGTACTGATCACGAAGCATCTATGAGTCCGGGCTCCGTCTCGTGTGCATGGCATGAGGATGAAGGCCCATGTGTGTTTAGAAGTACAAGTACCTACATGACACGTAGGTGCATACATACATGTCCAGACACAGGAACCTGAGGGCATTTGAGCACAGCCTTTGCCAGGTTTGGACTCCGAACTTGCACGATCTTCGCCGCACTTGCTGACGGCCCGGCATTGGACAGCGAAGTGAAGTATTGTAGAATGTACACACTCCCTTAAAGACAGGCTATTCTTCAGGAAGGGATCTACTTAATCTGGGCTCTTCACAGACGAAGCTTATTTTTTTCGGAGGGTGGGCTTAGGATCACGGCCTTAATCGAGCGAAAGATTAAGAGGCCATGCAGTAGTTGCACGTAGTTCCCATGTACCCGTTTATCTTGGGTCCGCATTATGATTTGTGTTTTCAGCGATTGCCCGGCAAGTGAGGTTGTAAGGTCATAGCCAAATTTCACAAGGACACTCGGAAAAGCCTGTGGAAAACTCTTGCATATGCGTGCTAGCCCCTGATAGGAAAACACAATCACACACTCCTGCCTAGTGTTTTTTGTTAGCTTCTTACTCTCCCGCGTGCTATGTCAGGGCCTGACCTCGGCCCTGACGGAGACGCTGGAGGAGCCAACGGAAGCGACAGGCACGGGAGTTCTGTCTCTACTGCCCTAGTGTTTTTGCTTCCTCAAGGTTTTTGGTTCGCGTGTCGCTAGATGGGGTCCCTTCTCAGGATTTCTGTAGAGTTCCGGAATACAGTCAAAGGTGGTTTGAAGGTTTTACACAGGTTGCATGTCCCTTTATGGAGGTTTGTTTTTTTCAGACTTCGGACGTTAGGGCTTAAAGGTGGGAGGTTCAGGATCTGAGGCTTGAAGGCTCGGGCCCGGGTTCTTGAGTCTTTGGGCTTTGTGCAGTGTGAGGAGCCGGGATTGATCTTGGGACCTGAACCATTAATCAGTTTGCTGCTTGTGGTTTAGTACAACGTGCACCAGAACCCTAGTGAAATCTTTGCGCCCTCTGCTTCACGGGCTTGGGGTTCCGCGTGCAGAGGCTACCCGTCGCATGTTGTTACACGGACAAAAGCCTTCAACCCGGCGTTCTAAACACACCCGTTTAGGAGCCGCATAGTAGTTTATGACATGGTATGATCCACTTACTAATGCCGGTTGCTGGTGCCACAAGGTCTTCCTCGGCAAGGTCGAGGGTCCAGGGCGGTTAGCGTTTCTGGTGAGTTTTGGGAGACTACCTGGGGAATGCGGAAAGGTGTTCCGTCTTGTGTATTATATTGTCGTTTTGTTTAATGTCTCCATAACAGTCCAACGGCCGCACTGCACAGTACGAAAATGGCAGATCCTGAGCCTGCGCCTGCTGCAGCCACAAAAGTTCATTAGCTGAAACCTAAAGAGGAAGAGGTGTGCCGTGCTAATCGTAGAGACTGAACCCTGGACCATGTTCTGAACGAGGCAACCTGAGTCTGAGTTGAAGCTCTGAAGCTGTAGGTTGCAGTAGACAGGTCCACCCGGCACCGTGCAGGCGAAGCCCACTGAGGCTTCACTCACCGGCTGGGATAGGGTTTGTGATTGTTGAGCGTTTTCTGGGGAGCTTAGAGTTCAAGGCTTTACATCGTTACTGCCTTAGGGCTTATAGGCTTCGGAGGTTGGGTGTTGTTTTGATTTTGGGGCGACGGAGTGACATTCAGGTATGTATTTAACGTGTGCTCCTACAACCCACCTGCCGCCGACTGAGCTCGAATGCGGTCGCATATTCTGCCCCTTTTGTCAGAAGCAGCCCATCTTCCTGCCTCATAAATAAAGTATGTCTTGCATGGCTGAATGTCGGTCACGAGGACTCCCGACTATGCTTCCGGCAATTCTCGCATTGAGAAGTTATGAGGCATAACACGGATTTCCTGTTTCTAAAGTTAAACCATGTAGAACTCAATAAAATCCTGCAAAATCCGTATCTTTCCTCAGAAGTGGGTATCGGGCTGTCTGAGCAGGTGCCAACTCTGAAGCCAGCTCCCAGCCCGCGAAAGGCCATTTGTCTCCGTCAGTCTGGCATCGCCAAAACCAGATCGAATGTGGTAATGATTTTGAGTGATACTGGTACAGGTTTCACAGATTGAGTCATGGCACAACAGCTTCAAATCAGAGTGATCGGGCACTTTCCAAGAATGGCCGTGACAAGGCCTAAGATTTGTCGTAATGGTACGGACGGTGACCATCACACACAGAGACATAACCAGGCGAGGTTTCCTTTGTGAGACTGCACTTGCTTCTTGTGCCCTGAAGTCTGCTGCTGCATGCGGTCGTGATGGTAGCAGCGCTTCTGGTGTCGCTGGCAGCTACAATAGAAACGATATCTCAACAGAAGTATGAACAATATACACACACACAGACACACACACACACACACACACACACACACACACACACACACACACACACACACACACACACACACACACACACACACACACACACACACGCAGACACGCACACACAGACACGCAGACACACACAGAGACACACAGAGACACACAGAGACACACAGAGACACACACAGACACACACACAGACACACACAGACACACACAGACACACACAGACACACACAGACACACACAGAGACACACACACACACAGAGACACACACACACAGACACGCACACACAGACACACACAGACACACACACACACACACACAGACACACAGACACACACACACACACTGCTGTTTGGGACGTTCTTGCTTTACTGTGTTCTTATGTTGTGCATCTTGGTTGCTGTGACCTATGACCAATGTTGCATGTGCCAAGGTGGTTGTTGTGTGTCGCTTGTTTTTGTTCCTGCTTGTGGCTTCGGTAACTATTCTCGCCTTTGCGCTGCAATGATTAGCTATCATGCCCGTGTGTCACCCAGGTGTGCGTTTATCGTCCTTTGTTTGTGTACGCGTTGCAGTCCACATCATCTGCTGCAGAACAGTGTGTACCTCACCCCCTCAAACAAAACCAACACATCAGAACATGCACATGTTGTGTTGTCGTTTGATGGTCTCAGCGGTCAGCCAAATCTTGGATGTGCTGTAGAGGGGATGTTCGATGCAGAGTTTAGGGCTGCCCTTGTGGAGGCACCGTGTGCTCTCGCGCAAAGCACGCGCAGAAGTGCGATGCCTGGTGACGGAGCGAACTTTCCACGTTACAGAGCTCTCAACTAGGCCCTAACTAGGCATATCCCAGGCCGCTATGAAGGACATCTTCAATTAATTCTAAAGGGGCCTTGCTATACTACTAAAGTATAGGAGTTAGGCCATACAAAAGGGTTTGGGGTCTGTGGGTAGTTCTCTAGACTTGCCAAAACATATCGACCTGTCTCGGGCGTTTAAACCGGCTTGCACACGTTTTGCAGCCACCACCCACGTAGGCTTGTGCGGAAGAAGGCTGTGGCTGCTCGGAATGCTCACAGGAAAACCCGGTCCTGCCCCCGCATAGCCGCACCACAAGGCGATGATGCGTCTTATGCACCACGATAGAGCATGAGTTTATTTCATATGTATTACTACTACAGAGCATTCTCACACATGCTGTGTGATGCTGTTTGCCTTGAGGCTTACCGACACCCTGGAGGTTCGCAGGGTCGGCCTTGTCTGAAATAGGTAGGTGAGGGCTCCGCAACCTAAACCCAAGTCTGCAGTAGCTCCCTCAGCTCTAAGCTATGGACTAAAAATTCGAAGTTTAGGGCTCGCAGTTTCCGTCTCTGCTTTTGAGGGCCTTCATGTTCGGCGTCTCGTTTGTTTCGGAGCTCAAGGATAGGAATGCGTGCTCAGGGTACTTCATGCTGAACTTCGCTCTTTCAGGTTTTAGGCTTAGGAGCAAAGGTTTTGAACCTATTGTAGACCTCTAAAGCTCGATAATTCGAGCTTCAGATTGCGCATCGAAGCCGGCCCACACATCAGAACCCTAAAGCTCAAACCCTAAGCCCAAGCTTCAAAGGTTAGTGCACCCATCCTGTCGGCTTCAAAACTTCAACCTCAGGCCCTTATCCCCTGTCAGGCCCGAACCCGACACCCTGTAAGCTCCCAAAGGGTTCATGTGTAACCCATGATGAAAACGCTGGAAAATATTTGCTCCCCTGAATGAAGAATCTTGAGGCCTCCAACAGAAGCCTCAAAAAGAAGCCACGCGTAAAGCCCTTGCCATGGAGATTATGCTCTTCATGGAACCTTTTAAAAGGAACCCCGCAAGCTAGAGTCTAAGCCGCGCCAGGCGGGGCAGCACGCAGGAGCTGAGCCCAAGCCGTCGATCGTCTCAGGCGCCCTGAAGCCGTTTCTGACGCTAAACCCTGGCTCTGAGCCCCAAACCTGAAACCCCTGCAAGATCCTACTCAACAAGAGACCCTTAGCGAGAGTGAGGGAGGGATGTCCTCCTCGCAAGCCCGCAGCCTTGAAGGGCCGCGCGCCTTCGAAATCATCTCGGAGCCCATCGAAGTCATCTCGGAGCCCCTCGAAATCCTCTCCGCCGCACTCTCAGTCAGCAGCAGCTCCTGCAACAAGGGCTTTTAAGGTTAGGGCTGTCGGGGTTCCGGGGTTTTAGGGTCTGGGTCTGGGGCTTGGCCATGTCCCCCTCTGTCAGGTAAAACATTAAGAGTGCCGACACCCTGCAGGGGTATCACTTTCATACGATGTGATGCTTTCTTGAGCGCAATCAATGCCATTTCCATCTCCCCGGCGGCGTCTTCACGAGCGCGAGTGCACCGATTACCGAGAAGGGACTTTCGCAACGTTTGGGGCTCCTACTATGCCACTGTAACCTTAGCCTGCTGCTGGTAGGGCATCTAGTACTGCAGCAATCCTCGTCCCTTTGTGTCTGATGGGAAGTGACGGGGCTACAGGCAACGTGGCAGCATGACCTCGTCATCGATGTTCGCCAGACGCCGGACTACAATTGGAGGTTCTGAGTGCTGTCCCAATAACTTTTAAGGTGGTGTCCAATATCATGAAGATTCAGGTCATAAAGGGTCTGATTAACTGTGAAGGCCCCTGTGGTAGCCCCATGGCATTTTCCCATCTTCCGAGAAGCTTCCAACTCCACTCATGATACCAAAAGTGGCTGCGGGGTGCTGCCTGTTTGGGGTTTGCCGACTTAGGGCTGGAGGCATCCCTACATACCGCCTTCATTCTAGGAGCGTAAGTAATCAGCTTAGAATCTTAGAAGCTGAAGCCCCACATACACCCGAGCCAGCAAGTTTCGAGGTCCTAAGCTGCTCCAACCTCAAAGCCCTGAAAGAGCAAAGTAAAGCTTTACCTTACGTGTTAACCCTTCTGAAACATTACACAAAGTGCTACCAAACCCATACACCCTGGACTCTAAACCTTAATCCCTAAACCCTAAACCCAACATAACCTAAACTCAAAGCCCTGGAGCCCGGAGCCTCTACCCCAAGCATCCTGAACACAGCACACTCTCAGGTCGCGATGGCCAAGAGACCTCGGATTTGGGACGATCGAGCACCTTCGGTCACTCTCTGAGCCTGAAACTCCGCCTGTGGAAGTCAGTACACGTTTTTTGGTTTTGTGGTTCTCAGGATTTATTCTTGAGATTGTATGGTTTAGCTTCGCTGGCTTCAGGTGTAGGTTTTGCGCCGTTTACTGTAGGATTTCAGGATCTAGTTTGTTTGATTTCGAACTTAGAGACTTAGTTGTCGGTGTAGGGTTGAGGGTGTCCAAGGCAGTTTCCTCTGTTCAATTTGTTTGGGGTTTAGGGCTTAGTCTTGGGTGCGGGCGTTCTAAAGGTAAGGTTTTGTATGCGGTTTTGCATAGGGCTTATGAAGACGGTGCAGTACTGTCCCCAAAGACAAGAATCGCCACTGAATCCTACAGTCGGCTGCATTAAGGTCCTGTGAAACTTTTTGAAACCACTCTCGCAGTCCTTGTTCTGAACAAAAGCAAAGCCAATAGAGGCATCACAATCATTTATTAGTGTTGCACTACCCTCTTAAGGTCTTTAAAGTTATTTGCAGACCCCTGATAAGAACCTTCACAGAAACTCTCTTCTATTTGTGAAGCCGCCCTACTAGGAAAGATCAGCTGGCTACTCCAACGGCGAAGCCGGGCATAAAGGAGGAGAGTTGGGGTCTAGGGATCAGGCTACAGGGGCATTTCTGGCTTTAGGAGTGTAGAGCTCCAGGCCCCTGAGGTTCGGCATCTTGGATGTTGAGACTGAGGGCTTTAGGGTTAATTGCTTGCGATTCAAAACCTCCTTGAGTTTGGTGTGTTGTAATTGGGTTTTTGACTGAGCTCAATGAATCAAACCCTGATCATGCCTCAATCCCTATACACTCCCACACCCTGGAGGAGCCGAAGCAGATCGAGACGGAGCCAGAGCTGGACCATGTGGGCAACCGAGGTGGGACTGTGGGATTTGTTTCTGCATGTCCGACTGAGGGTTTAATGGTTGAAAGGCGTTTCGATTCTTATTATCGGGTTTATGTCTATGTAACTCGAAACCTTCAAACTCAAAGTAACCCTAGCATCGCTCTTAATAACCCCTGAAGGAACCCCAAATCCCATAAATATCCATCCCGGCCAGGAGACTCGCCGGTGCACATTGACGACTCTGCTCTCGAGGTGCATGACCAGGACCAACCCTAAACCCTGGATGTAGTAGTTTGGGTCACTATGAGGTTTCCATTACAGGTGATGATAAGGGTTGCGTTAGGGGCTGTACTGTCATCCAAGCCGAAATAGAAACCCTCAAGCGCTGCCCCAAACATGCAATGCGTGCCTTCAGAATTAGGATACTGTTCCGTAGGGTTCCTTGGCATATTCTTGGTAGAATATCCCACCAAAACCCTGGAGTACCATGAAGTTCTATATTCACAAGCGTGGGTGGCACCTGGCGGATTGGCCCTGTCAGCCAGGCCTCCACTGTGAAAGCAACACTTGGGCGTCCAGTGGGTGCAGCGTTTTTGTTGCGCAGTTGGGGGTTTGGGGTTTAGAGTCTCATAGCCTGCCGCCCTCCACCCCTGGACAGCATTTCCAAGGACTTACATAACTCTGGACGATTTCTCGACTTGTTACTTGCCGTTGTTGTCATGACTGCTGCTTTTGCGATTACTTTTGCGACTACTACCCGAGATCTCGGTACAGACACCAGAGCAGAGCCCTTTTCCAGGATGATGGTCCGCACGACGAAGACATCTTGAGGACTGCCCTTGGTGTTTTCAAGTGTTGGAGGCTTTTGAGAAGCCCTTGAAAGATGACGTTGGGGGTTTTGACGGAAGTCTCTCAAAAGGTTTCGGGTTCAGGGCATGCCAGGGGGTGAGGGGCTCAGGCGACCGTTCTGGTAAGTACTGCCAAGCCGACCACAGCGGTCACTAAGTGCCCGATAAAAGGGAACATCGCAAAGAAATGGGCTTGCAGTTAGTCACAGTCTTGCTGGCAGGCTGCCTATGTTCCTGGCTTGTGCACGCAAGGCCACGGTCTTATCACAAGCATCATTGTGACGACTGGTGATTCGCTTCGTGTGGGATTGCTAATACCCATTAACGCCAGATAAGCTGCTCAGTATTGCTACGGCAGGAACGACACTGGTTACTGTGCTAGGTCGCCAGGTGCCGTGGGCAGAATCACCGCTTCGATAAGTTATGCATGAACACGATGGGTGCTCGCACGATCACGCTTTCCACCACAAGTAGGTCCAACAAATGTTGTGGCATGGTGCGGAGCCCTCTTTTGGCACCTTGGAGTGCTGACATGATGACGGTGGTACACCCTACATCCTAAGTCACGTTAAAGCCCAAATATCCTTGCAACCTGCACTCTGAGGACCTTCTAAAGCTTCTACTCGTGCTCCACGAGCAGGGAGTGGCAACAGTAGTACTTATGCTACGAGAACAGCCAGTCGTCATCACAACAAGATTAGTACATGTGGTGTCATGGTAGCAGCAGCAGAAATAGCAACAGCTGCAACCAGCAATATGTACTACGCTGCCATAGTACCAGCAGAAGAGAGAAAGACTTACAGCAACGGCAACAGTAACAATCTCAATCTAAGCCTTGCTGAGATGTACCAATTATAGGGGCCGAATACTTAATAATTACCAGTACTGCTGGAGCGAACCAGCAGGCTGAGAGGTAGACACAAGTGGAGTAGCTAATTCCCTTGTCCCATACTCCCCAGAACCCGGCATGGCTCACTCAGTAGGCGGAGATTTTACACGCAAGCAAAAGACAGAAGAACGTGAAGTCCGTGCTACCTTGCGAGGGCTTGGCACCTACAACTATGAATGTGCAGATGTGCTTAAAATGCATTGCTCAAGACCTACTGTGCTTGGCCTACGAGCAAAAGGAAAACCACGTCACATGTACATATGGCATGAGCTGCACAGGAAGCATGCACTTCAGCACTCCTCCTTCGCAGCCCCGCAAGGGAGTTGCGACCTACTTGCTACTGCAGGTCCAACCCGTCAGGGTGACGACACACCTACCCAGAACTACCTGGCAGAAGCTGGGCCAACTGCCCTCACTATGCGAGGGCTTTCAAGGCACCTCGTGTGGAAAAAAGACACAGCTACGGATGAGCTCACAGAAAGATCCAACCCGTTAGGGTGGAGTAGTTCCTACCCTGTGCTGTGCTGGGTGTGGTCTGCAGCACTCCCGTGGCACTGCTGGCACGCTTGAAACTCAACAAACCTGTGCGAGTGGGTGAGCGTGGAACAGGTCTTAGTGCGGTGGAGCTTGGTCCCTTCGGGTGTTGCTAAGTAACGCGTTGGTGCTCCCCCTGCCTGCTCACGCGTGCGAGTTGTTTGTGAGGGGCGGCGTCTGGGCGCTGCAGCAACAGACTGCGAGCTTGCTGCCTCCTCACGTGCAGAGATCTCGGCATGGATTGCCTGCGCAGTTTGATCTCGAAGGCGCTGTAACTTGCGCGCCTTGCGGGGGCTCAGAGACAACACGGGTGTCCCTGCCTCTCGGCGGGAGATGACGCCTTGAAGGCACCACTTGAAGAACTCCCACACTGCAATGAAGCAGATACCACTGCAGATGATGGATACTGCCAACATCAAATCTGCATCAAGCGACACGGGGAGAGACAAGTCTTCTTCCTCGTCCGTTGTCTGGCTGGCAGCACCTACGACCTGAAAGACGGCGAGCAGGACAGCGAAGGCACTCAGCTGCAGGTCTTGCTGCGCCACGGTCCCAGTGCCCACAGCTTGAGTTTCACTGTAGGCCTGAGCTTCCGCCCGGCGAGGTACGCCATGCTCGCGCAAACCCCAGATGGCTGCGAGCTCAAGGATCCTCGCAGATGGCAATGCTTTCGTCAGAAGATCTGCGGCTTGCTCAACTCCTGGGCAGTAGACAGGGATGATCTCACCAGACTCATACTGCTCTCGAAGGTAGTTGGCGCGCACCCTTAGGTGGCGGGTTCGCCAAGACCCTTGGTCGATAGCGATGGCCAGTGCAGACTGTAAGTCAACCCTCAAAGTCTTGTCGAAGCTAGAAACCCCGAACTCACTCAGCATGGCCTCTGCTGACTGAAGGGCAACTACAGCGTCAAGTCCAGCAACAAGCTCGGCTTCTGCGGTGCTGAGGGTGACAAAAGACTGTCGTGCTGAACGCCAGCACACCGGCGACCCGTGAAGGAAAACCACCCACCCCGTGTGAGAACGATTCCCTTCCGGCGCATAGCTGGCATCACTGTACGCGATCAATCCTGTGTCATCCGCATCAGCGGTGAGAGCCAGCGCCTTGGTACGCTGCACATACGCAATGGCTTTGTCTGCAATGCGGATGGCTCGTTGCGGCGCCTTCGTGCTGAGAGAGGCAAGCACACAAGCAGTGAAAGCTAAGTCAGGCCGAGTGCGTTGGCTTAGCCACAGAATTTCTCCAGTCAGCCTCTGTGCTGTTCGAACGGTCTCTTCGGTTGGGGACCCGTCCGTCAGGAGAGTGTCAAACGAAACAAGGTCACGCGGACAGGGGACCTTACCTAGTGCAGTGGGCTTCACGTCGTTGAGACGCAGCAGCTCTTCGGCGTAAGCCTGCTGGGACAACACAAACCCGGAACCTTGCACTAGGATTTCAACCCCTAAGAACCTCAGCGGGTGCCCTGCGGTGGCAAGTGCGAGAGGCGTCGTTTTCCAGATGCCCTGGATGGCCGTAGCCAAGGCTTCGATCACCTCTTTACTGCCTGCAAGCAAAAAGTCGTCAACGTAAGTGAGCAACCCTCCTACGACTAAGCCGTCAGAGGTGCGAACAACACGCCACCAGTTTGGGTCCAACCTTCCTTGCTGGAGCTGCAGTTCAACTCCGTCAACAACACACTTCAGCGCCCGAAGTTGGCAGTCTCTGAAGTCCGACCAAAGCTTAGGCGACTCCCTCAACCCGTACACAGCGTGCGTGAGGATCCAAAGCTCCCCTTCCTCTGCCAAACCTAGTCTCACTAACAACCTAGGCGGCGTGAGAGCAAACACTGGAAAACCTCTGCCTTGCGGGATTGGGGTCAACAGAAAAGCTGAGAAGACATCTAGAGACCCGATGCACCAATTCCTCTTGGAGCTGATGATTACAAAACAACGGAGTGTCTCTGCAGCAGCACCTGAAGCGTAGACTTCAGACCCTGTGCCGGGGGGCGTGGTTGCCACAAGCGACCAAGCGAGCCTTGCGTTTGTGGTAAGCTTGACCCTTCCGGGTAGCGAGGGCAGCGTCACCCTCAGAAGGGTCTGGTGGCTTGACTGTAAACACAAACTTAGACGGAACTACCTTCACTTCCTTACGCCTAAGCCAACCTCCCGAACGGACCTCTGCAGGGGGCAGTCGCCGCACAGCCTTCTCAATGACACCGATCTCTTTGTGAATGGACGGCATCCACTTCTCGATGCATTGCTCTGCATCCCCAGGGTCTACAGTGTGGACTACCTGCAGTGGTTCTTGCAACCCGCCAAGCAACAGCTCCACGTTGGTAGTGTAAACCGGCTCAGACTTGCAAAGGGCGCAAGCTTCACTCGCACTGCTCTCTCACCTTTCCAGGGAGTGGTGGCGTGGCGGCGAGTAGGGTCTAGGAAGAAGGGCTTACCGCGCTCTAACTTGTGAGTTGTCCCTAACCAGCGCCTGCCTTTGCCGTCGGCCACTGACTAGGTCACCAGGCTTGAGTTCTATCCACAAATCCCCTCCGTTAGGCGGGAGCTTCAAAGGGAGGACTACATTTGTGGATCCCTGCAGGTTGTGGTGGTCGGCGTGCACGGGTTGAACAGTGGAGTTAGACAACCAAAGCGAGTCCGAGGTGTACGCAGCTGTGGGTGCAACTGCGGAAAGCACCATATTCATAAGCTCTGTCAGCCAAGGCTTATCTGTGGTACCCCCTAAAACTCCTACGACACCTCCGTGACGGTACAACCCAGCTTTGTGTTGCAGCTGGGGCGCTGCTCTGCACACTTCGGCTAACACCCACAACGCTTCATCAAGGTCCCAGTCGTCCTCGATAAGCTCCGTAGCTAAACCTTCAAGGTCTTGCAGACTCAAGCGCGCTACACGGGCAGACTCCTCCTCAACCGGTGACACAGGCCCTTCCGGGTGTGGAGCTTCTGCTGGCGGCGGCAAGGGAGGCTGCGGGTCAAGTGCAAAGACGTCGTCAAGTCTCACACCAGCAGACCGCTTGCCGCGAACCCTGCGTGGAGGTGGTGTGAGCTCCTCCTCAAGCGAGTCTCCTACAAACTGCAAGGGCGGTGGATCCGGAGAAACAAGGCGGGTGCGTACATGGAGTGTTTGCACAAAGGGGTTGCCAACACCATCGCTGCGCAACACGATGTGACCATCATTCACAGATGGTGACAACCCCATATACTTACCTTCCACCCATCTATCCTCCAAATCACCCTTCTTGCTAAAAAACTTTCGCTTCACGGAACACGTCCCTCCAAAATGGATGGCAAGCTTGGGCTTCATGCCCAGCTGCTGCGCCCGTTGCTGAGCCGCAGCTGTCATGATTGCACAAGGCCACAAGGACGAGTCCACCTCGCCAGAGGTGAGAAGTGTTCGCGCTCGTGCTTTGAGCCAAGGCACGGTGTTCTCGGCAGAGCCGTTTTGCTGCGGCACGTCCCCTTCTGTCGTTGTTGTGCGGACTCCACGCTCGTGAAACCAAGCTCGAGTCCTTTTGTTGAAGAACTCACGACTGCGGTCTGTGTGGAAACGAAGTACGGGGAGGTTTAGGGACCTTAGGGAAATGTACACCTGTTGGAGAGCATTTAGGATATCATCACCCTTGTTGGTGTGAAGTGGCACTGCAAACACCAGCGTCGCCATGTCAGGCGGTGTTTCAAGCTCACACCTGGCTGACTCCCAGGGATGCTCCTCGGCAACTTTGGCTGCGAACTCTCTAGGCCCTTCAACCCCTTCGTCTTCCGACTCCTCCTCCTCTAAACTTGGCTCGTACAGGGAGTCCTCGCGCAGGGGGCCTTCTGCTACCGGAAAGGCCTCATCTGCAAGGTCATGTGTTTCTCGCGGGAGGAGTGCTGCATCATCAAACCCCTCTGTTTGGCTGGGGTCTGACTCCTCCTTCACTCCTTTGAGCCGTGGGAAGCGGTACGACGCAGCGAGGAAGTACTTGAACGTGGCTGGTCGGTGGTTGCGGCTTTCTGGGTCTTTGCCCTTCACACGGATGGGCCCCGCAATGTCGGCTGACATGCAATACACTTCCGGGTGAACTACACCGTGGCGGCGGCGGCCGTTTCCGGCACCGTGCACGCAAACTGCACAATCACGGCGGTACGGCACGTGATTGTTCGCAACATGCTGTTCCCAATCCGCTTGGGTGAATTTCATGAGGCGGTAACATGGCCAACGTTGGAGTGCGTACACGATGGCTTGCACAAACCCCGGCGCCCACACTGGAGACACACGGTTGTCGGCGCTACAACAAACCTGCCACACCTCACCCTGCAACGCTTGCAAGTCTCTAAGGTCGGGCAAGTTTGTGCCGACAGTTGTGGGTTTATCGCCCGTGTGCCCCAACGGACCTTGACGGAAATGCACCTCAAACAAACCAGCCTCTTCAGCGTATGCTTGCCACAGCGCGGTATTCCAAAACGACGGGGCGCTACCCACAGCAGAATGGCTTGAAGCCATTTGGTGTTCAACCGACGGTTGCTCCAACATGAATGCCACCATGGATGTTCCATCCGATGGGTTTGGGTGCACACGCCTCCCGGCGGTGGAAAGTGCATGCAACCACAACATACGAGCATACAAACCCGTATCACGATCAACGAGATCACGCTCGTCAGAGGTGAGAGTGCTCAGGCCAAACGGTTCAGTGGGCGAGCGGAGTGGATGTGGTCCATCGGCGCGGTGCCCTGACATGGACCATGTGCGGGTTGGTGGACCTCCAATGACCGCCGCAACTCGTCCCAACTTTGCAACCTTAGCAAGAAGCGTCCAAAGCGTATCATGGTAAAGATCTCGGCACCTTGAGCGGCAAATGTCAAGCTCAACGACGACTGTATCCTGCGACTCCAACCGTTTGAAAGCCTTGTGCGCGCCAGGGCCCGCAAACAAGTGAACAACCCAATTGGATGCTCGATGAAGTGCCTTCCTCCTTCGCCGGTTGAGGTTTGGCATACCTTCTTCAAGAGCTTTCCACAAAGTCTTGGAGTCCACATCTTCCGATGGGAGTAGGCCTGACAATGCACGATCGGGCACATCCTGAAAGAATGGCGCCGTGGATACTGCCATGTGGCCCGCTGCTGGCGCTGACGAGCTAACATGCTCAACCAAATGATCCCACCATGTGCGCTGCATCGCGATTTTCGCTTGTCTGATGCGATCCTTCCCCTCATCCGTCCTTCGCCTGAGCTCCTCAACCTGTTGCATTTTGTGCTCCTCCAACCGTGATATCAACGTGAGGGCCTGGCTCTCAACCAATTCCGGGCAACCGTTTTTGACCCTAAGCCTCAACGACTTACCATCGGGAGGATACAGCTTGCAACTACCGGCTGACCAAACCAGTTTATACCCAAGTTGCTCGATGATTGCGCCCATTGGGACTATTGGCTGCGCTAGGCCATCCCTCCCGGGAGGCAGGAGCAAAGTACCTGAGGATGTGAGCCGCATTGTTGTGGTGGTATCGCCGGCTAGGCTCACCTGTACTTAACTTCCGATGCGGCCTCCCACTCCTCCTCATCCATGGCCTGCCTCATGGCATGGGTGGCCCCAGAGTCCAAAAGCGCCTTTGCTATGGGTTTGGGGGCGTCAAGCAACCCCCCATTCTCGGCTCGAGAATGGGGGTTTGCCAAACCCTGATTTTCCTCCTGATTAATGGGGGTTTGCCAAACCCTGATTTTTGGCATTTCCCAACCCGCGAGTTGGAGCCTCCTGATGGGGGGGTTGGAAGTCCCGGTTTGGGAGACCCGAAACCGGGAAACAGCTTGCGGGCACGACTGAGCAAATCGTGAGCCTCTTCACCGAAGGATTGGGTGCAGACGATGCGGGCGCAGCCGGTGCCGGTGGCACTGAGGGCTGCTGCGATGCAGTACTCAAGCCTTCCGGCTGAGGTTGAGGCGGCTGGGCTTGCGGCGTGGTGCCGCTGCACGGTGGATTGGCCTCCAACTGCCTCAAAGCCTGGACTGCCTGTTGCATGAAGGTTTCCTTTTGAGCACTGGCGTGGCTTGGACAACGGGTTGGCCCGAGGATGTCGAAGCTGCCTGTACGGACGGTTTCTGATCTGGTGCTTTGGGTTCCGCCTTACCTGCCTTGCAATCCTTAGCACGATGCTCCTCGGAGCCACAATTCAAGCACTTCTTAAACCGTTCCGCTTTAGACAACTCGTTCATGGAGTGGGGGCTTTTGCATTTGGTTCCAAACCTGCACCCCTTTGGCGAAAGGAAATACTTGCATGTATTGCCAGTCCCTCCACCTTTGGCTCCACCACTCCCCTTTCCCCCCGACTTATCCCCTGCAACACCCGCTGCCTTCAATGCAAGGTGACCTGATCCACCTTTTTTGGCAACCTGAGCTCCAGCCAAAGTCTCAAACTCGGCCAACAAATGTTTGTGGTAGGATTTGACCGCCTCTTCCGAGGGTCGACCGTGCAATTGCAGTGCACTTTTCACCATCTCGGTTCGCCATGAAACCTCCGGTTCCTTAGAGATGACGGGCTTTGTCATTTAGGTTAGGCCTCCCACCAACACCATTGGGTCCGGCAAACTCATACCAAAGTCTATGCACCTTTGATACCACCGTCCCCACGCCCTCAATGCTGACACACCTGAGGCTGCATCCTGCACCACATGGGGATTCTGCAAGTTGCTCAACACCAGGTTGCGTTCCCCTGTTCCCCCGGGCTGGTAGGTCGTATACAGCCTAAACAAGATCTGTGATGCAGCTTGATTCGCTTTACGGGCTATGATATCGGATTTTACCGTGGGGTCCAGGGCATCTAAGAGCATCGCGCATGCACGGGCATTCACTCTCCCCCATTTGCCTTCCGTAAGCTCAGGCCTCTCATCAGGCTCAACCGTCAAGCGCTCGATGGGGGAAGCGACGACCCACTTATCGTACGCATCTTTGCTTACCTGGACTACCCCTGACCACCAAAGTTGAGGGAATCCGAAAAGTCACTCATCAAGCCCACAATGAGCTGCAACCAATCCTGAAATTCCAACGAACCTCCAGCGGGATCTGGTGGGGCTATTTTGGGGAAGGTCGTAATGCCCGTTTTTGCCGTTTCTGGGGCATCCTCCTTCTTGCTACTGCTAAGGTGCTGGGCTTGCAAAGTTTGCAGCTGCTGCACACCCAACAGACAACAATACAGCATCAAGCACGGTGTGACCTGATGTGGGAGGGCCTTGGGTTCCACCCGGCGACACTGGTTGCTCCTACTGGAGCCGTGCTGGCCTGTGGAATGGGGGCACTGGAGGCCGCAGCTGCTGGAAACCAGAGCCCGAAGCCCTGATCTGGCCCAAACCCGGGTTTTCGGCTCGAGAATGGGGGTCTGGGCCAGAAGAGGTGGAATCCCCTTGCACACCCGATAATGCGCTGCTTGGCTGCCCAACCCTTCCGGGTGGCGCTGCATTGCTAGGTAACCTTTGGGAACCTTGCAACCCCGACCAAAAGTTAGACCATAATCCTGAAGTTGCAGCTGCTGCTGTTTGGGCGGGCGCTCTCAAAGCCTCAACCGCCTGGGCTGCGGCATCATGGACCTGATACGCGATCGGAGTGTACACCTGTGCATCCTGAAGGGGCGGCCTGGGAACCTCATCACGGATTGTTGGAACTACCGGGGCACTACCTGCCACTACGGTTTCTCTCCTTACTTGCTCCCTGAGGGCTCGTTCCCTGTGTGCAGCCTCCTCCAGTTGCCTCCGCATCTAGGTCCTGAGCCTGCGCCCGTTGATCAAACCCCGCTAACTGCCTTGCAACCTCAGCTTGAATGGCTTCTTGAGGCAAAGACGATGAATCTGTTCTTGATTGGGGCCTCTCGGGCATACCCGCGTACAATAAAGGAGCCCAATGTTCTAAAGCCTGCATGCGCTGCAACATGTCCGCGCTCAACAAAGGGCCATCCCTCCCGGGAGGCGGTGCAAAGGATGTTGGCGTACCATGCGCTCCCAACTGTGGTGGCGAGCTTGTATGAGAACCCAAACTCCCATCTCCCAAGGCCATGGGCCCTGAAGCACCCCTAGGACTATCACGGGTATGTGATGTTGTTGTTCGTGGTGGTGTGGCGTGTGTGCCTTGCAGCACTGCGGGTATCTGCACCACCTCAGTGCGCGCTACACGGAAAAAATCCCCAACCCTCGTCATGAGCTGGAGCCCTGAAGTAGGGAATCCTTCAACCATCTCAGCTATGGTTGCCAGACCCCGGCATGGCTCACTCAGTAGGCGGAGATTTTACACGCAAGCAAAAGACAGAAAAACGTGAAGTCTGTGCTACCTTGCGAGGGCTTGGCACCTACAACTATGAATGTACAGATGTGCTTAAAATGCATTGCTCAAGACCTACTGTGCTTGGCCTACGAGCAAAAGGAAAACCACGTCACATGTACATATGGCATGAGCTGCACAGGAAGCATGCACTTCAGCAAGTACTGTTTTGAGGGTTCCTCATGATGAAAGTATAAGTATAATGGGTCCCCAAACCCTACTCAAATTGTTAAGGCCCCTATAGTACCGAGGTCCAAAGAGTCTGGCGTTGGCAGTGCCGCGACCTTGTGGGCCTTGCAGCTGTAGGTGGTTTGGGTCAGTGCTAGATGTGCTCAAAACCTGGGGGTGTCTGAGAAGATGCAGCGACGGGCTTCGACTGCAGTTTACCCAGCGGCAACATCCCAATCCCTAAACCCAAAACCCAAAACTCTAAACCCGAACTCCCCAAACCCTGAACCCACATGACCCAAAGTAATCTTGTGCAGACCCGAAGCCTGAGGCCAGCGGAAAGCTACACGAGGAGCCTCACAGGCCCGACAAGGGATCTCACGAAAGATCCCGAACAATCCTTCGCCAGCTAAGCAGCAGGTCCGGTTTAGATGTTACAGGGTTCTATAGGATGTCATTTGGTTGTTTTTATAAGGATTCTATGAGGGTCTTTCAGGGTTGGGGTTCTCCAAGGTTTTAGAGTTCAGGGTTTGTAGGGGAGGCTTCAGGGGAAAACAAGTTTTTAGGCCTGAAGGGTGGTTTAACGGCTCTGCTCTAAGGCCTATAGGGTTCAGGGTTTCGGGTATCAGATACTGGAAAGTGCCAGGGCTCAGCAATTAGAGTTCTTCATCGCCTGGAAGGATCTGGAGAGCCCGAAGCACCAGGAGGTTTCCAAAGAGGCTGAGGTTGCCACTGAGCTCCGCCAGTAAGACCATTATTTTTTTGCAGGTTTGTCTGTGGGATGTTTTTGTTTTTCTTGTGGGGAGTTTTCTTTGATATTGCTCACGGACCCGGGCTTGGCGGCCCTTTTTCTCTCTTGACGTCTGCCCAGGCGGACAAAGATCAGCCACGGGCATCCGCTGAAAACACGGCGGAAGCTCGTGGAAACGGTGTGGTACTTCTCACCGCCGGGGCGCAGCAAGGAGTGCCGGTATTGCAGAGCCCCTGAACCCGAAAGCCGTAAGCCTAAGACCGATCATGGCCGTTAGAATTCTATAGTAGTCTAGCCAAAACATGCCCTAGATGCAAGCAGCAGTGCCGCAGGTGATGGCGACCCTACTGGAGAGGTTGGCAAAGCAAGCAGCCTGGGTCAAGAGACCGGTGCAGCAGAGACGAGTCAGCCAACATCGCCTGCGGATGTTTCCGCTGCCAAAGAAGCAGCTGATGAGAAAGCGAAGGCCAAGACCGAGGAGGTGCCAAAGCCAGAAAGTCCGACAGCTGCGGAACCTGGTCTCGGGGAGAGCTCCTCGAAGGATCAAGCCGCTGGAGGTGAAGGCGAACCGTGCCTAGAAAGTGCAACAGCCGATTCCGCTTCCCCAACACAGCCTCGTACCAGGTTTGCAGACGAAGTTGGTTGCGATGCGAGCAATACCTCAGCTGCCGAAGTTGAGTCTGCGGCAGAGAAGAGTCAGGCATCAAACTCGGTGGGTCGTCCGTTAGCCGGAGAGCTTTGTTCTGGCAATGGCCATGATGGTTCCCGCAGCTACTCCGAGGACCCAGCAAAACCTTCGGAGGATGCAGCATTGTCGAGGGCAGCAGGAGCAGAGGACCATCCCGACCAAGTCGTGCAAGGTGCTTCAGATGCCGAAGCTGCGGATGCGGAGAGAGGCACAGACGAGGTCCCGAAGTCAGATCGGCCGACAGCGGAGGAACTTGGACTTGGTGATGACTCGCGCAGCTACTCTGAGGATCCAGCGTCGCCATCGGAAGACGGGGCATTCTCGAGGGCAGCAGGAGCAGAGGACCATCCCGACCAAGTCGTGCAAGGTGCTTCAGATGCCGAAGCTGCGGATGCGGAGAGAGGCACAGACGAGGTCCCGAAGTCAGATCGGCCGACAGCGGAGGAACTTGGACTTGGTGATGACTCGCGCAGCTACTCTGAGGATCCAGCGTCGCCATCGGAAGACGGGGCATTCTCGAGGGAAGCAGGAGCAGAGGACCATCCCGACCAAGTCGTGCAAGGTGCTTCAGATGCCGAAGCTGCGGATGCGGAGAGAGGCACAGACGAGGTCCCGAAGTCAGATCGGCCGACGGCGGAGGAACTTGGACTTGGTGATGTTTCGCGTAGCTACTCTGAGGATCCAGCGTCGCCATCGGAAGACGGGGCATTCTCGAGGGCAGCAGGAGCAGAGGACCATCCCGACCAAGTCGTGCAAGGAGCTTCAGATTCCGAAGCTGCGGATGCAGATAGAGCGACGGCGGAGGAACTTGGACTTGGTGATGACTCGCGTAGCTACTCCGAGGATCCAGCGTCGGCTTCGGAGGAAGCAGGGTCAGAGGACCATCCCGACCAAGCCGTACAGGGTGCCACAGCTGCCAAAGAAGCAGCTGCTCACATAGCAACGGACGATGTGTCGAAGTCGGATCCGCCGACCGCCGAGCAGCTGGGTGTTGACTCCCCAAGGGACTCAAGGACGCTGTTGCCATTCGCAGTGGACCTTCAAGATCCCGCTAGCTCTCCCGAAAGCAATTTCCTGCCAGATCCTGCTTCGATCGAGATCCGACCAGATGAGGCGGACTCCCAAAACCCTAAGAAACCGACCGAAATGCTACAAGCCCCCAGCCGTAATAACGCCATAAACGAAGCACCATCAGCTCTAAGTCCTATAGAAGCTTGTAGAGCCTGAACCCCAGAGGTGGCTGAGTTTCCGTGGGACACGAAGCCGATATCCTCGGATGAGGACATCGCAGAATACGAAGCCAGCTACGCGGAGACGGAAGAGGAAGGCAAGAGCTCCGTTTCTGCCCCAAAGTCCGGCATTGCCGTGAGTGAAGATCTGGCGCACAGCCATGCCTCCTCAGATCATGCAGCTTAGCAGTGAAGTTTACAGACTTGAGCTGTTCTGTAATTGAAGGGGGGTGTATATACCCGTTGATACAGAATGTTTGAAGTTTTCCAGGCGTATGTACTTCTGAGCTATCCTTAAACCCCGCACCACGCAATTAAGCTTTATAGCTTGTAAGCTCTAATGTTTTAGAGTCTAGACCTCCGAAAACAGAACAGCTTCAACCTTAACCTTCAACCCTTAGCTTTGCAAACTTTGAAGCCGATAGTAACCCTAAACCCAGCGCAAAGCTGAGGCAGATCAGCGGGGTCCTCTCCGTGCGAGCAGCTCTGAAAGCTCCAATAAGCTGCGAGTTGGCACTTTCCTTAGGGACCAAATGATTAAATTATCCTTATAAGGGTGAGAGCCCTGTACACCATTTCCATGGTTCTACAGAGAAAACCTAGTTGTTCATAGATGCACCCTAAATCCTTGAGCAATGGGTCCCCGGTTTGGGCGCTCACACTGCGACCCAGGCTCACGGTGTCCGAAGACAGCAAGGTCATCGAGTCCTCACAATCCAGGCGGGAATGCAAAGTAAAGGCATTTTTCCACGTTTACCCAGTGTTGTTAATCCTGTACTTTAGTCCTGGGTTTTCTGAAATTGGAGGGGGGTTCCTGCATGCTAGGGCACCATGTTGACTTCCCTCATTTCAGGGTCCATAAAGTGCCATGAAGCCTTATGTGTGGACCGAACACAACCCCGACTTTCTCACATAACAAGGTTTCTCCAGCCATTGGAGGAAGCATCTGCTTCTCAGCCGAGTGTGGGAGGATTTTTACTTTCGGAGGCGTCTTAGGATCAGGGTTTCTGAGCATCTAGGGTTGGGTGTAGTTTTTTTGTTAAGGGAGTTTCGTCAAAAGCGTAAACAGGGGAGCTTTGAAAGTGCAGCCAGGTTCTGGAATCAGGGTATTCCGGTCAGTGGTCGGAGCTGGATGCAGGCCCAAGGCATGTGTCGAAGGATCTCAGTGAAGATGCATACTCTGGAGAATGGTCCGAGGAAGGCGCATGATCCCGACTGACAAAAGATGCGTGGCAACTGTGTCCGGCTGAAGATTTACCGTGGCCTAGTGCAACTGCGCGACAGCTTATGCAAGCATGAACTTGCAAACACGAAGACGATTCCTGTAATGTGCTGCCAATTAGCAATAACCCAAGCGCAATGATGATGGAAAGTGGGTTACGACCCGGAGTTCGGATGCAACCCAAACTGACAACTGTGGAGAGTCTGGGGGCTACAGTCGGATCTATATTGCATAACTTGCGTTGCTGCGGCTTAGTTTCAGAGTTGGCTGACGGTATAAGGATAACTCAGAAACGATATGCGGTATAAGGCCCGAGAACTCAGACTCAGCAGACTGTGACTATTAAAGAGACGACCCTGGCCTGAGTCTGGCTATATGGCCTCTATGTCATAAGTTCTCGAGCCTTCGTCGCGCACCTCAGCTGAGGTCCGCATAGCTACTACTTCTATCCTTTACAGCCCCGGATGTACATATATATATATATATATATTTATTTATTTATTTAAATATGTGTATATGTATACATATATATATATACACATGTGCACAACAGCATACACCAAAACTCGACCCCAATCATGAAGGCCCCTTAAACCCTGATAGTTAAAAAGTTAAAGCTCTTATAGCCCTTACAAAACCCTGTAAAGGGTCGGCAGATCAACTAATATGTCAGCGAAGTAAGACACCGATGTTGGGTGGGTTCGAGCCTAATGTATTGGAGGCTATTCAAACCCTTCCTGAGGATCACGCTTCGATTTCGGACGGCTTCTTTCCCCAAACCCAAGCGCCTTTGATGAGTGTCTCTGGAGCTCCCGTATGTGCAAACAGTTTCAGTCAGTCCAGAAGAGTTTGAGGCCCATAGATGGCGCTGGTATGACGTATAGGACTCTGTAGGACTGCCAGACTGCAGTCAGTAAAGTTGCAAGATTGAGTTGGATGCTGAGCCACTCCACGTCGGCGCGAAGGGATACCATTGCCTTTCCCGCTCCCCCGAACATAGTAGTTACGATGAGGGGAGGTTTATTAATTTGGGGAGGTGGTTATATACAAACCCTGAACCCTACACTTTGTACCTGAAACCCAGAATAGAAGTGCCTAAGTATCGCAAAAGCTCGACATTGCTGCTCTGCAGCCACCAAAGGTTCAAGAAGACATGCCTTTAGACTCCTCCATTGTGATCGTTTTGCTTCAGTTTAGGGGTTTAGTATTTCGTGACTGAGATTTAGGGCATACCGGGTTTAGAGATGTTTAAAGTTTAGGGCTTGGGAAAATCCTACCGTCCTCTATTTACTGCATTTAGGTTTCTGGGTTACGTGCCGTTCATGAGCGGATGCGCTGCCTGGCACAATGGAAGGGTGCTGAACCTCTACTGCCCGGAACGCCCTCGTTTTTGCAGTCGGATTGGGTTTAAGATTTAGTTCAGGGTGCATGGGTTTAGGATTAAGGCTTTTCAGGGGTTGGATGCTGATCCTGACAAGATCAGCAACAGTTCTGCGGCAAGCAGCAGCGATGGTGAGTAGTACTGAGACGCGTCATGTATAGTAAGACCCATGAAGAAGTAAATCGTATTTGATCAGAACACAGTTATAATGAATGAACTGCTGTTGCTATTAGTTTTTGGTTTTGATGGTAAGTGTGTGTGAGAGGAAGCATCGTAGAATAGCTGTGCAACCGGGCAAACATACAATACCTAAGCCCTATTGCCGTGTGCTTCCCCAGACTTCCTGAACCACGTCCGTCGAAACCCTAGAGCCCTAATCCTGTGCAATCCCAAGGGGACTGGTTCAGAATGGTACACACGCTCTAGACTCTAACTAGAGGCTCTCGGTTCGGTGAACCGCCACAAGTCTGCGAGGTTCGTCATCCTCGGATAATGGCTGTGGATATGCGAGGCCGGATCAGATCCTCCAACTGCAAGCCTCAACTTTCCCAGACCAGGCAGCCGGGAAGCTGACAGCAACCGTCCTAGTAATAGAAAGAAGCGAATAAGACCTTTTGACAGCCAGTCGCCAACTCGTCAGCATACTCCTACACCCTGAATCCCATACCAGTACACCGAAGCCGAAACTTCAATCCCTCAGCCTTCCGTGCGTGTTGCTGGTGTGCTGAGCCACTGTCCCTTCTCTCTCAGGGATTCTTAGGCACCGTTGTCGGAAACAACCGCTCCACAAAAACACAGAAAGGTTTGAACAACTCAAAGGCATCCTATCATGTTCAGCCATGCTCATGAGGTCCGCGGGTTTTATCTGCGGGTTCTGGGACCTCGGTGTTTCAAGATTTCATGGCTCAGAGCTTTCTACGGAACTTTCCTCGAGCCCAAATATCGTTTGATTAGGCCATAGCTTACATTATACAGGGCTTCATATTACGATGCAGGTATTCCTGAGTTGAGGGATATTGGACATTTTGGGCTATTCCCCGGTGCACGTCTTTACCCGAGCTTAAGTGCATTGTTTCGGGCTTCAGCTTTCGGCTTTAAGTCCACAGCCAAAAAACCCTGAAACCCTAAACCCCAAACCCGTAACCCCCTTCCGCCACAACCTCCTCACAGGCTCGATGCTGACATGGAGGATGGCAGCCGCGAAGAGGCGCCGAAAGGCCTGTTGGAGATATGTTTGCCACTTGCTCTAGGCATTAACCCCTCGGCTCTATATGAGCCCTACAAGCCATATAAAGTTGAAAGTTGAAAGTCCTATACTTCCTGGAAGCCTCACAACCCTGTAAACCCTATAAGCCCTAAACCTTAGACTTTACTTAACTCCTAAACCAAACCCGCGATTGAAGTAAGCTGTGTGCTCGAAAATCCGCTCATGCTTTGCAAGAGTTACTCTAAGGCCTACTATGAGGGTTGTTTTAGGGTTGAGGGATTTTGGGAGTTTAGGGATAGCGGATAGGGGCATAGGTTTTCGAACTCGGGGGTTAATGCAGCTACCGGGTTAATCAGGTTTAAGGTCGTCGTCCTTGGGGCTGCCTCATAAATCTATCCAAACGCCCCTATGCTTCAAAGTAGGTCTCGGGGCTTAGAGTTTCGGGTATCGGGTCATCAGAGGTTCTGGGTTCAGAGGCACCAGGCTTTGGGGGTTAGGGTTCAGGGCCTGAATGGATTTAGGATTTAGGGTTTAGGAGGCTTAGCGCAGAGGGTCAATAGAGTTCTCCAAGTATCTCTTTTTCAGGCGAACAGGCAGATGCTGGGATGCAAGGGCACGATTTTGTCGGGGCGGGGTTGGGGCCCTGAGGAGCGTGAGGCAGTGAGTCCCTGAATCCTGCAGCACAGAATCCATGATGACCATAGCAAGCAAGGCAACACTGATGCAGTTATCTTGACGACAGCAGTCCTTGTGCAGATCCGTCATCCTAGCCGCAGGTATCATCACCTCGGTAGTCGACATGGTGCTGAGAAGCTACTGGTAGCAGCTGCATTACTGCCAACAGTGATATCAACGAGGCTGATCACACTACGGATGCGCACTAATCACCACCCTCAAAGCTAAACCCGACATCATAAGCTTCTTGCTGCTTTCAGGTCATACGACTTGGTGCGTCGCAAAGAGCTACTTTTGTCAGAAGCTGAGCCTCCTGTAAATCCCCGCACTCCGGCGTTCGTAACATAGGGGGTAAGGATCTTTTCATCCAGTGTTAGTACAACACACTCCCAAAGCCTGGTCTAGGCCCCTGTACTAAACCCTTATAGCAACCCTTTAAAGGAACTCCTTGAAAGGAATCCTAAGGTCCCTTTATCCTTTATTAAGACCCAATGCCAAGGCTTGATCTGCGCGATGGTCCTTTGCTTTTACATGGGCCGAAACGTCGCACCCTTATCCAAAGGCGAGAGCCCCAAGGGCCTCCATATCGGAGCGCTGGCTGGTTGTGGGGTTTAGGGCTTAGGTATAGAGTGTGTAGGAATTGCGGTGTCAGAGTGTAGGTCTTAGAGTTTGACATGACAGTTGAGGGCTTATGTGCATAATGGTCAGCGTGACGGTCGTGATCATGAGGACGTTCCTAGTTCAATACCACTACCACTGCCACTACGACTACCATTACCACTTCTGCTGCTGCAGTTATTGATCATGACTCTTTTTGTTGCCATTACGTCACCGGTGCTGAGGTCCAGAATGGCTCTAGGACCAATGCCCATAACTCAATTTTTCAACATCATTACTCATGGTACTACTAGTCTCATGCCTTGGCTAGGACTACTGCGCTTATGGCATTGTGCTGATGACTGAAACTGTGGGTATGGCAGGTATTGACATACTTGGGGTTGGTGTTGTCAGTGGCCGTGCTGGTCCTCGTTGTCGCCACTACAATGGTGGTGTATGCCAACCCCATCAGCCCTAAGCCAAAAAGCCCTTGACTCTCAATACCCTCTCGGCCCCACAAAAAGCGTTTTGAAAGCAATATGCAACCTATAACTCCTTAGTATTCAAACATGACTCTTCGCATGCTTATGAAGCCCTTGTAAACGCTTGTAAAGCCAGGTGCAACCTTGCAAACCTTGCTGCAGGTGAAATTGACAGCTTCCCTCTTTGGGCGCCACCCTTGGTATTCTCGAATGGGTCTACGGTTTTTTTGCTGTTCTACAACTGGTAGTTGTAAGGATTTGCTTGGGGCTTGCAAGGGTTTTCCATGCTACTGGGTTGCTTACGGGTTTATGGCTGTCTAAAGGTTTGTTACGATAACTTTACTACGATTTCACATGCCCAATTTTCGAGTCTTTACAGTAGCGATTCTCGAGTTGGGTTGTATGCTAGGATGCTCAACAGGGTGTACGGGCCTGGGGGCTTTAAAGTTCAGGTGAGGGTCCGGTGTTTGAGTTTAGGGGTTGGATGACTGCTAGGTCATAAATGGAACTTCTAGGATGTCCCCCGTTGGGATATTTGTAATACGAAGTTCCATCAAGCCCATATTTAGGAGCCCTCAGCCACGATCCTTGAAGTTGCAAGGTCCGCAACTGCTAGAATCCTGTACATCCCCTCACGAGCACCTC